CCTAACCCAGGAATGAAACCTGTGTCTTCTGCATTGTCAGGCAGATTCTTTACCACTGCACCACAAGGGGAGTCCAGAATTCTGCCTAAACCTTCACAAGTTGTCAGTCCCGTGGGCAGATGTTACTCTTTTTGGTGTGTGATTTCTAGAACAGTTGACCATGTCCATGCTTGACATTCATACCACTTTCTTGGTTCCTCGCTTTCTTGACTTTCCTCCTATTTTTTCTTTTCACTTTCTTTGTTTCTTCCTTTCTCTCTTTTATAGTTATTTAATGTGAAAGATAACATATATACATAAAAGGGTATGAAGCACATCACAGGGAAGTATCTGCCTGTATCTTTCATCCATTTTTCTTTTGTCTTCTTACTGGTTTTTATGACTTCTTTATATGATCTGAATGTTTGCCCCTTGGCAGTTATATGTATTGCAAACATCTCCAGCTTTGTTTCCTATTTTTTCAGTCTTTTCATAATGTCTTTTGATGAACAGGGGTCTTATTTTAATGCAGTTAAATTTGTCAGTCTTTTATGAACTTATTCTCTTTCTTGGACCTTGACTTTGCCCGTCTTCCAGACAGTTTTCCACCTATGATTTCAACTATCACCTCTATCTTGATGCCTCTCACCTCTGTCTCCATACAGAAGTTTCTTCTATTCTTTGGATATAAGACTTGAACTGCCTGCTGGATGGTTCTACCTACACATCCCATATACAGCTCAACACTAATTTACCCCAAACTGAACTTACCCTCCAAGTCCACCTAAGAACACACTACCACTCCAATCCTGTATTTCCTAGCTCTGTGACTGGCACAGCCCTAGTGGTGATGGTGGTTCAGTTGCTAAGTCGTGTCTGACTCTTGCAACCTCATGAATTGTAGCCTGCCAGGCTCCTCTCTCCATGGGATTCTCCAGGCAAGAATACCCAACCAATCATAAAGCTAGGATCTTGTGAAATTACCCTGATATCTCTTTCTTTCACAGGAACCATGTTTTGCGTATTCCATAATCTAAATCTTGCTCTAATCTCTCTTCTTTACATCTCCAGGGCCAGAATGTTGGTTCTACAAGACCGGGAACCTTGTCTAGCTTCTGCATCACCATCTTATCAGTATAGGATAACAGTTAAGAGCATGGATTCTAAAGCCCAGTTACCTGAGTTCAGATCCTAGCTTTGTTATTTACTAGCTGTGTAAGCAAGTGTAAGTTATATGACCTCTTCTCCCTCAGTTTCCCCATTTGCTAAATGGGAATGATAATTGTCCTGATTGTGGTGAGGATAAAATCAGTTAGTGCCTGTACAGTGCTCAGAACAGAGCAGGGCATTAGCACCCAACATACATTGGTTATTATTAATAATGTCATATGCTACCACCAACATAGTGCTTGGTTCATAAAGGCAAAAAGTTTATTGGCTGAAGTGGATGAATGCCACTGCTCTAATTTACACTCTTATTATCTTTGCCTGGACAATAGCAATAGCCACCTAGCTGGGGTTATTTCTGAGAGACACTCCCCCATCCCTTACCCTATCCATTCTACACATTGATGTTAGGGTTACAAGTCTAACAGACAAATAGGAAGGTATGGTGTCACTCCATTACTTAACACCACCCAGTGGATCCCCAGTCTCCACAGGTGGCCAGGCAAAATCAAACTCCTTAGCAGAGCCTATGTGATGGACTCCTGTGATCTGGCCCCCACCCCCTCGCTCCAGTTACACCATCCAGTAACAGTTCCCCAGAGAAGCCACCTTCCTTCTCCCCTCTGTTCTTCTGCAGGCTGTTCCCCCAGCCTGGAATGTCCTCTCCCCACTCTGTCTGGCTGACAAAATTGTCATTATCTTTTAGTTTCAGCAATGACATCAGGTCCTGTATGCAGGCATTTTAGGCAGAGTTAGGTACACATGTTACTGTAGCATTTATCAAATTATACTATAACCATTTGTTTACACGTCCACCCTACCCACTGGGCTGTGAGTTCCTTGATGCTGAAAGCCAGATCTTATTCAGATTTGTATTCCTGGCCAGAAGCACAGGGTCTATAGTAGAAGCTTAATATATGGTTGCTGAATGGATGGTTAGTTTAAGAAGTACCTAATAAACCCTGGAATTTGTATTTCCCTGACTCTTGTATTGGTTGTTACCTTTTTAATAGAAATAGTCACTAATGCTTACGTTTACAAGTTTATTGAGTTCTAATTTTGTCCTTTAAAATGAACAATGACAATATCATTCATTCATCCATTAACCACCAATAAATGTTTATCTGGAGACATTTGTCAAATACTGGATTTGAAGTGTACATATCAGACAAGCCTCTTCTTATAAGGTTCACAAATTATTAAGTCTATTAAGTACTAAAGGGATAGCATGGAAAACTATATTCACTATCTTGTGACAAATTATAATAGAAAAGAATATATATAAAAAGGATACACACACACACACACACACACACACACACACACACACACATATATATATATGTGCTGTGCTGTGCTGTGCTTAGTCACTCAGTTGTCCCCAGCTCTTTGTGACCCCGTGGACTAGAGCCTGCCAGGCTCCTCTGTCCTTGGGGATTCTCCAAGCAAGAATACTGGAGTGGGTTGCCATGCCCTCCTCCAGGACATCTTCCCAACCCAGGGATTCAACCTAGGTCTCCCACATTGTAGGCAGATTCTTTACCCTCTGAATCACCAGGGAAGCCCAAGAATACTGGGTGGGTAGCCTACCCCTTCTCCAGGGGATCTTCCCAGACCCAGGAATCGAACTGGGGTCTCCTGCATTGTAGGTGGATTCTTTACCAGCTGAGCTACCAGAGAAGCCCATATATTTGTGTATATATATGTACACATATATATGTATGAAAGTGGATCACTTTGCTGTACCGCAGTAATTAACACAACATTGTAAATCAGTAAAACATCAATAACATTTTTTTAAAAGTATTAAGGGGAGAATGAACCAGTGACACAATAAACACAATGGGTATATAAAATTACAAATTGAGGGGAGAGTTGTGAAGAAAAAGAACAGGATATGAGGAGAAAGAATTACAGGAGGAACATCCTTTAAATAGAGGGGATGGGAACGTTTCCTTGAAGAGGTGCCATTTGAGGGGGAGACCAAAGGATGGACAGGAGTGAGCTGTGCAAAATCGTGGGGAAGGGGCCTCACAGGCAGAAAGAGCAGTGTGTGTAAGGAGCCTAAGCAAGGGAAAGGCAATTGGTGAAGCTGGAGTCTGGGAGCTGAGGGTTAGGGAAGTGAGCCTGCAGAAGCTGCCAGGGCCTTGGTCTGCAAACTGGATACTAATCTCAGTGAATAGGGAACTAACTGAAAGTTAATCAGGGGAGTGACAAGAACCTCTAAGAGGGCGGTGCCTGCGAGCACCCTGTGTACCACTCTGGATTTTAACGGACAAAAAAAAGCAGGTAAGAGCCCTCAGTCCTGGTTAAATCAGCAAAGACTTTGATCACCTTCCCCTCTCCTGCCAGACTGGGGAGAGATGGCCTTCAAAGGACACATGTGAGAAGACCCAAAGCTACCCTGGCCATTCAGGTGAAAGCTGTCATCTCCCTCAAATGACCCCATCTGTCGAAAGACACGGTCAGGTAGACAGGACCTAAGGGTCCTTTCAGGCCTGACATGAGTCCCCTGAAGCCAGGTGGATGGAAACAGTATCCAAGCCGGGTGCCAGGCTGGGGAAGAGGGCTTCATTGTCCCTGGAGAGATCTCACAGCCTGGAACATTCTCCCTCCTCCCCTACCTATCCCCAGCACCCTTGCTCTTGCGATTTGCGATTTGCGAGGCCCTCCACTGGCCTTGCAGTTCCACCATCGCAAAGCAGGGTAAATGTGCTGTGAACCAAGCTCTTCCACGTGCTTTCGGTTTCATGAACAAAAAAAAAAAGGAAGACTGACCCCCACCAGGAGCAAGGCTCTGTTTCCGATCAGGGTTGGCCGCTGGGGCTCCCAGCTCTCAGCCCTCACTGGATGCTCTTGCAGACCGCACACCCCACCCATTCCTGGCAGCCTGAGTGTGAGCGCGCCTCCCTCTCCGCAGCCCCTCCACTGGGGGTTAGGGTTGAGCAGGAAGGCGGCTCCATTGCTCTGCACAGCGGCCCTTCAGACCTACTTGAGACAACCTGTCAGTCACACTTCAGGCTGCCAGTCAAGGGCTAGAGCCTGGAAGATTCTATGAAGAGATCCTTGCGCTGTAATTTAGTGCCAGGGTTTTACACGGATCTTTCACACCTTGCTGATCCTGTCACCCAGTTCCCCAGTGAGTGGGAGTCAGCTGTTTTGATTACACCCGAACTCCCCTCGTTAGTGGGGGTTTGAGACTTACAACCCGCGCAGTTTGTGCACCCACCCTCACGCTCCCCCCACCCTAGTCCTGCTCAAGACAGGGCCATGTCTGTCCCCCGAACTGGGTTTCCTCCCAGAGAGCCACTCCACCACTTTCTGATCGGCACCTCTCCTTAACCCTTTGGTTGCACGGGCATCTGGGGAGCCGGTTCTTATTTCTGACAGGTCCCTTTTCCTACAAACTCTAGCCCTAGAGGAGGTGGGGGCAAAGAAGAGAGAAGGATCACTGCTCTCATAGGACAGAAAGGGTCTGTCTTCTCCTGGGTTCTTCAGACAACCCCGGGTTTCCTTCCTCAAATCACGCCAGCTCCCAGCTGGCACTTGCTGGCTGAAATGTGTCAAAATGTTCCGCTTTTAGCCCGAGGTTTGGCTCCATAGAAAGAGCACTGACCCGGAGTCAGAGGGCATGGTCTTGCCAGCTTCTGACTGTGCCTTCGAACCACTTCTCCAGTTCCTCGGGACTGGGCTCCTCCCCTGTGTGGATGGGAAGAGAAAGGGAAGCGAAAGCTTCCCTGGAGGATCTCGAGGGACATTCTGGGAGTCTACAGAGGTGGCAGCTCCGCGGGTCTTCCAGCGCTGGACGCCCGCAGCCCTTATAGGCGGCCCTCTCCCGGGATCCAGGGCGCCCCATGCACCCAGCACCCGCGTCCCTCCCTCCCGACCCCCCAAGTCCTTGGATCGGCTATATTCTTCCTGGTCAAACGGACACTTTCTCCTGTCCCCGCAGCCGCAGGGTCTGCGGCGCTCGTCCGAGGAGCCTCAAGATTGGAGCAGGAGGGCCGCTCGCCAAACAGAGGTTACCTGGGCTGAGGGGGGCGGGGCCCGGGCCGGGGGCGGGGCCTAAGCCGGTCTAGGGGCGGGGCCTGTCCGGGGGCGGGGCCGGCGAGGTCTTCCGGGCCTCCGCGTGGGGCTCAGCTTCTGCGACTGCGAGGAGCGAGCGAAGGTGCGCGGGGAGCGGACAGACTTCCCCGGAGGTGAGAGCTCTGCCGCAGAGTAGGGCAGGCCAGGGTTTCTGGCCCCCGGCAGGGACGGGGCGGGGAGCCAGCCACCTGTGACCACCGGGTGCCTCTTCCCCTGGCAGAGTTGTTCTGGGTTGTTTACAGCTCTCCTCCTGCGCCCCGGGGGGCCCATTCCCTGGACCGATTCCCTGGACCTCGCTCTTGGCTTCTCGAGGGGCATCCCTGGGGGAAGGGAGAAAGGGGGAGCACGTGTATACCTCGCCAGCTGGACTCTGGAAACTTTGGCTGTGAGGAAGTCACTTGCACCTCCACCTTGGAACAGTGCTATCAGACTTTCTTCTTTTCACTTTCGCCCCCACCCTGAGAAGGGCAGGTGGCTTCACTATCTTCCTTGGAAAAGGGAAACAGCCACCTTCAGCAGGACCACCGGTAATCCCAACAAGTTACTGAGCTGCTCAACAAAAGGCCTTGAACCCCCACATCTCCACCCCCATAACACCAGGTAGAGCAGCCTGGCAAAGGCTCTGAGATAAATAGTTTAAAATGAAAAATCCGCTTGTGAAGATAAGAGCATAGTGGTAGCACTCCTGGGAAACTACAGATGGAATGATATTTTTTTAAGGGGTGAGGACAGGGTTAGTGGATTGTCATGGGTTGAGGGGTGTTGTCCCAGGAAGTCCGCTGAGGCTGTGTTGGGTGGGAATTGATGGCAGGGGCTTTCCCTTGCAGTGGGCTAGCTATGTAGTCACCTGGTGTTTCAAACACCTGTCCAGCACCTGGACCCACAAGCAAGCAGGTAATCCCAGTGTCCTTCAGATAGGTGTTCTTGCTGAGCAATGACCCAGCGCACATGGTGTCGTCAGGTGCACCTGGGATGCTGTCCTCTTGCTGATTGCCTGTAAGAGGTTGATAGTGACCACACACTGATGTTGGAGAGCTGCCCCAGGGAGCAGCCAGGCCCTGGCCAAGTGTGTGTCATTCGATCACTTCTCCCTGCATTTACTCAGCCAGGCTGAGTATTGACCGATCTGTCCAAGGACTCCTGGACTCTCAGACTCACTTCACCCTTGTTCTTATGGACAGAAGGCAGTGGCCAGCAGCTTCCCATTGTGCCAGGCACAGCCCATCAAAAAGAAAACCTTGGAAGAGGAACCTGGGAGAAGGTCTGTGGTGCTCGATGCTGATCCTCGAGTTGTGGGATTGTGGGGACATTCCAGAGGGTTCCCAGAGGAGGGAACCAGGCCAACGCTAGTTACTGAGTGTATTTTAACAATCCCTCTGACCACACCCGTGCATATCAGCCTTCTGGTACTCCTGTTCTAAATGACCACAGAATCATCCATTCCCTCTGGTATTAGAGCTCTGAGTAGATTGAGAATCTTTTAGTCTGTGGTTTGAATGCAGAGCCATCCCTGCCAGCTTTGGGGGTTTGTTTTTAAGGAGGCAAGGCTTCCAAGGAAGTTGTATCCCAGAGCTTTCTTTGTTTATTTCCCTGTCTCCGGAAGTTTGGGTTGCTGAGTGCTGAAATCAAAATAGGCCTGTTTGTCTATTCCTGCTCACAGACTTGGAGAGCAAGAAAACACTGGAATATGAAATGACCGAATCCACTATGTTTGTTTCCCTTTTTGATTTGTGGGAAAGAATGCAGAAAGCAGATGGAAATCTTCAGCCAGGTCTCAGGCTTTGGGAATTCCCATTCTGTTTTTGCAGTGCCTTCCCCAATCTGAGGGCTATGACCCACAGTGTGCCCAGCTCTATGGGACCATCTCAGGTTGGCTGAGGGAAAGTTCCTGCCCTTAAGAAGCTTCTAGGTTCAGGGGAGGGGAGAAACCAGCACCTATGTAACAGAGAGCACTAGAGTGAAATTGTGTGGCCCAGTCTGCTGGTTCACAGAAGATAGCCCGTGTGGTCTGGAAAAGGCAGAGAGGCTCCGGGAGCTACTTAGTCTTCAGCTGCCTTTAGAAACAACAGTCAGGCACCAGGCAAGGCAAAGGGGGAAAAGCCCCTGAAGCTCAGAATAAGCAAAGGCACTCTCTCTCCCCTCCCCCTTGCAGTCCACATTCTCTGCCTTCCTTCCCCGCTCCGTCTCCTGCCACTGCCGAGTGCCCTCGGCCACACTGCCCTCTCATGCCATTCTGACCAGGCCTCTTCTGTATGCTTCTCTCTCTGCACTTGCTGTCCTGTGCCCACGATTCTCTCTGTTGGGGAATCCTCTGGTTTTTGGGGGGTTTTTTTTGAGGCGGTGGGTGCGTATTTTTGGTTCTTTTCTTTGGCCACAGCATGGCATGTGGGATCTTGTTTCCCCAACCAGGGGTCGAACTTGCATCCTTTGCATCGGATGCTCAGAGTCTTAAGCACTGAACCACCAGGCTAGTCCCTCTCCTCCATTCGTATATTCTTTTCATGTACACACACACACACACACACACACACACACACGCATTTCCCATCAGGGAAGTCCCCGGAATCCTCTGGTTTTTAGGAAGCATCTCTAATAGCACCTTTCCCAAGGAAGACTTCCCTGGCTGGCCACTCCCCTGGTCTTCAGGCAGAGTCGGAGGGTTCCTCCTTCCCCTCAACTGCCCCATGACCGAGCATCTACTGAAGCCCATGGACCCTGTGTTGCCCAGTTGGCTTGAGGGGTTTTGCCCCACCAGCTGAGGCTGTGTCTTACTCATCTAGCAGTCCTCTTAGTGTCTGGCACATAGCAGGCAGCACTCAGTAAATGATTCCTGATTGAAATTCAGCCATATGTGGGGACCATGAAGCACCTCACTTACTTGTGGGTTAAGTGCTATTATTGGGAATTTAAAGACTAGATAAGCTTGGTGGAGGAATTTGGGTTTAATCCAGTGGCAGTACTCAAAACCCTTAGCAGCCCTGGGGAGATCCCCTGGGGAAGGGAATGACAACCCACTCCAGTATTCTTGCCTGAAGAATCCCCATGGACAGAGGAGCCTGGTGGGCTACAGTACATGGAATCACAAGAGTCAGACATGACTTAGTAACTAAACCACCACCACCACTGCCTCAGAATGGACAACATCCATTCTTGCAACTTCTATTCTGCAACGTCCTTCTTTTTTTTTTTTTTGCAACATTCTTCTTGAGCTGGCCCCTGGGTGTCCTCTCCAGCCTCCCCTCCCACCAGTTCACACCTTGAACTTACACTTCAATCTTAGGAACCAGTTGGATCATAGCAGACTTGGGCCCGGGCTCCCCCTCCCCTTGACTCTGTTGTTTGACAGCCTCTGCCAGGAAGGCCCACTGCTATCTCGAGTTTACCCTTCCCCATCCACAGCACTCAGCATCTGGATCCCCTGAGTGCAGAGGTCCCTTGGGCTGGGTTGCACGTCCTCCTCCGGGTCTCACTGCCTGCCAGCACATCCTCTCACAGCATCATGTCCTCTTGTGGCTGCCTCCTCTTCCTCACCCTGAGCTCCCAGGTCACTTGGGCTGGGTTTGTCCTTGATGAAGCCCCCTCAGCTAACAGCTTTCTTGGGAGAGAGTGCCCAATAAACAAGCATTGGATAGAAAGCTGAACCATCCATCCAATGCCTGTTTATGCCATTTCCATTGGTTGGAATTGTAAAAGCAAGGACAACATGAGAGACGTTTGAAAGGAAAAAAGTTAAGACTTGGTGATGAAGAAGGAAAAGAGAAGGTTGGCTTATAATCCTGCGAGGCAGGAGGAATTGGACTCAAGGAAGGTCCACTCCATGCCTCTGAGTGCCATGCAAAAATGTTTCTATTTTCTGGAGGATTTTCAAAATCCAAAATATTGTTAAGTCACCTTGGGGTATTACTGCATCTACAGTTATTGCAGGATGCCCAAGTGGGGACATCCTTTAATCAGCAGAAATGTACACTTTGAATGCAGATGTGGTCAGGGTTAGAGGAAGGTGACAGGAGTTTAGAGAAGATGGTTCAGCTTGTGAAAGCAAATGCAGTCACTGCAGGAAGAAGCTAAACTGAGGTCTTGGGGAGCACCTACATTCTGGGGGTGGCTGTGGGAGAGAGGAACTGGTGGAAAACAGAAAGAAGAAAATCAAAGAAGCCAAGGGAGGAGATAGTTCAAGAAGAGATGTGTGGCCAAAGCTGTCTGTGCCAAAAAGAATGGAGATTCAGACAAAAACAGATGAGAAGGAGGTGAGTTTTGAGAGTGGCACTCCCATAGGAAAGCCAGATTTCATGGGGTCAAAAGAGGCTGATTAATGGGCAGTGGAAACATTGCGCGGAGTCTTCAGACCTCACATCTGTGGAATTTGGCCACGGCAAAATGATAGATTTTTTCTGAGTGGTCGTGTCAAGAGAGGATAGTTTTGTTTGTTTTGTAAGAGATCTAACCATAGTTCCATGCAGGAGGGAAGAGCCCATGTATGCTAAGGAATATGGATGAATTGCCCTGTTCACATTGGTTGTGTTTCATTTAACCTTGCTCCCCAACAGTTGCCCCAGGGAACTCTCATTTTGGGTAAGCTCCCAAGCCATGGTACTGCCAAATCCAAGGAGATGATGTTGCAACATGGAAGCAGTTGGTCCTCACCTCCCTGACCCATGGTAAAGTCATCTCAAGTGCCCCAAACTTGACTTTGCTTCATAATGGTGCGGGCCAGATGTTTTCTCCTTGACTGGGCACAAATTCATGACACCAGTAATAATATCAGGCACACAAACAGCATTTACTCTGAGCCAGACACTGTTCTGAGTCCCTATAAGATGGGTCTTGTTATTATTCTCATTTTTCTGATGATAAAAATGAGGCCCAGGAGGCTCACCCAATGACACAGTGGTGAGGGGGGAGCAAGGTTCCAACTGGGTGTGTCTGGCTTCAGGG